CGACCCTGGCTTGGGCTCAGCTGCCAGCGCCGTGGCGTCCTGGGGGTCCCCGCCCCTCTGCCCTGGAGCCCTAGCAGAGCCAGATGGCCTGGGGAGCAGGGTCCCCGACATGGGTCCCTGGGTGACACCCCATTACTGCCCTGGGATACAGTCGCCCCCACAGCTGTCCCAAGGGAAAGCCCTTGACGCGGTGCTTTGGACGCCATCCCAAGCTTGTTCCGGAACGCAGACACCCCCAGAGCACGGGAACCAGGCCACGCCCTGGACACCGCCGCCCGCATCTCTGGAGCTGGCTACAGTGTACCAGGTACGCGCCAAGGTTCTCTTCGCTTCCCTTGGTGTGGCCCCCAGGCTTCGATTGGAAACAGAAGGGGTGGGTGGGCTCTAGTTTGAAAAGAATCTCATACTTTTTACATCCAAGGTTGTCTAATCCAGCTGTGGTTAGGAATGGAGAGAAGCTGAAGGAATAATGAAGAGGACCCTGACCTCCTTGGGGAAGGAGGTGGGGCCCTGGAAAGTTAAGGCCATCACTACCTCTGTCTAGAAGCCTTCACAGCCATGTGGAAGAGGGGTTGTTCCTCGGACTTACTTTAGAGTCTGGGAGGAAGGTAGCAGGGGCCACTTTCAAGAAATTCGCTCCAAGTGTTCCATTAAGAGTTGTGGGGGAGGAGGCCTGGCTGACTTTCGCAGTAGGGGCTTCCTAAGTAGATGGGCTCGAATCTGGTGACCTTCATTTCTCCTCAAGCTTCATTCATTCATGAGGCCCATGGATGAATAAATCATAGTCCATAAAAGAATATAGTAATGACCAAATTTATCAAACGCTTACTAGGTGCCCAACACCATTCTTGGTACTTAACATGTTTTAACTTATCAGCCCTCCAGCAACCCTACGAAGTAGGTTTTATTATCATCATCCCCATTTTACAGATGAAAAAAACTGAGACTAAAAGAGGTTATCTGAGTTCTCATAGCTAGTGAACGGCAGAGGTGGGATTTGAACCTAGCAGTGTTATCTCCGGAGCCTGTACTCTTAACTATGCTTCACTGCATCCATGGCACCAGGGCGGTTCAGCAGCTGCCAGCCACGCTGTGGGGAACATCCGGGTTCCAGGTCTCAGAGCATCAGGCAGTGGCTCACTAACCAGTTGCTCTTGTCTCCCTCAGGGTATCTCTGTGTCTACGGAGTCCTGTCTGTTGCCAGAAATCCCTCCCCTCCTGCCCTGCCCAGCAAGCCAGAGACTCCAGCCTCAGACCCAGTGGGGATGCTGGAGCCACAGTGCAGAGGTGCTGCCCAGCTCAGAAGACCAGGGACCAGGCCCCGCCTTCCAGCTCAGTGATGAAGTCCCTCCCCAGAGCTCAGGCCTGCAGCTTAGTGGCTGCCCTGAACTTTGGCAAGAAGATTTAAGGGGGCCCACCTGGGCATCTTCTACTAATGGCCTTGCCTGCCCCCTTTTCAACCAGGAATCAGGCCTGTAGTGTATGATGCCCTCCTCACCTGCTATTTCGTTGGTTATCAGGCTTTCCTTTTGCCAAGGATGTCTTTCCCAAATGATGTCTTTCCTGGAAGCAATGTTTTAAACAGATAGAGGGGTGGCCTCCCTGGCTGAAGTTGGGGCTGACATGGTGCGTCCACTCCTAGACGTCCCCAAGAACAACCAGTGCTTAGTAGAGCACAGCCCGAGCTGCAGTGGGATGGTGGCTGCTTGACCACAATAGTTGGTCAGGCTGGGACTGGCGGGGGAGTGGATTTTGAGGGGTGGGGTTGGGAAGAAGCCTTTATGCTTAGATTTTGTATGTCTTAAAAAACAAAAACAAAAACTTGGTTTGGTCTGTTTTTCTTCTGTCCACCTGGGTTTTTATTGCTTCTGGAAAAGGCAAAATGCTCCTATCCTGCAGGGAACAAGTCATGCTGTTTTTCTTCTGGAATCCAGGCCTACCAAGGTTGATGTTGCCCTCACTTGCGAGTTTGACAGTATTTATTGCCTGAGGGCTCCATCTGGCCTGCTGTGCAGTGTGGCACAGGTGGGCTAACACTTGGTCCTGTACACTTGTCTCAACCCCATCGCCAATGCCCTTTTCCATTCTTCTGGGTGCATTCCTGCTGACCCAAAGGGCTCTTTCACAATTATGTGAAATTGTTTCCAAGGGTCAGTAGTGGCTCCCACACGCTAGGCCCAGTGTATTAGTTTACTAGGGTGGCTGTAAGACAGTACCACAAATTGGGTGGCTTAAACAGCAGAAATTTATTTTCTCACAGTTCTGGAGACTACAAGTCCAAGACCAAGGGGTCAGCAGGTTTGGTTTCTTCCAAGGCTTCTCTCTTGGCTTGCAGATGGCCGCCTTCTCGCTGTTACCCCACGGCCCAATCTGTGTGTCTATGTCTTAATCGCCTCCTTTTATAAGGACACCAGTCATATTGGATTGCTCCCTGCTGCGTATGATCTCATTTTACCTTAATTACCTCTTCATAGACTATATCTCAAAATACGTTTACATTCTGAGGTATTTGGAGTTAGAACTTCACTGTGAATTTGGGGGGAACACAGTTCAGCCCACAACACCCAGTACTAGGTGCCAGAGAAAACCTTCCTCCATTGACAGGGTAAATTACAGGGAAAGAAATGATCAGCAAGGGGGTTTATACACTTTGTGACCAGAGAGGCTGTACCAGCCTGGTTGGAGATGGGATTGACAATGCAGTTTGATTCCTGAGTTACCTGACCCATTAGTCCTGCTGCATTGATTTATGCAGCCTTGAGCAAGACTAAGAGTCACCTTAGATCTTGGGGAAAGTGTGCCATGATCCATTAGTAAAGGCTGCCATGGGCTTTGGAGCCAGCAGTAGTGGTGACTTCATCCTGTATCTGCTGACTGAGGAGTAGAGAGTTGCAGGATGTTGGAACTGAGCATTGAAGGATGTGCTGCAGGAGTTCGCCAAGAGTAGGCAGAAGAAACAGTATGACCCTGGTGATGGTTGTACAGCAATGTGAAGGTACTTATGCCACAGAACTGTACACTTAAAGTGGCTAAAATGGTAAATTTATGTTATATATATATAACCAGATAAAATACTTTTTAAAAGGTTTATCCTGAATAAAACCAAACTTGAAAATATTCTACTAAAAAAAAAAAAGAAAGAAGAAACCATATGAGCCAAGTTGAAACAGAGGTGGCTACAAGAAAAAACAAACAAGCAGAGGTGGCTGAAGTCCAGAGTTGATGGAGAAAAGTGACGAAGTGAGTTGGAAAAGGAGCTCAGAGGCAGGGTTGTGGGCAGCCCCACATGGCAGCATGGGGAGGCATTTGGCCTCTGTGTCCTGGGTAGAGGAAGTGGTGAAGGTTGGGGATAGGGGTGAACTGGTCAGAGCCCCTCTTGGTCATTTTGGCTGCTTCATAGAAACGCAGCCAGGCAGAGGCCTCTGTAACGGTGCAAGGCGAGAGAAGGGGGAGGTGGAAGACCGGAGCACAAGTTGCCACGTGCAGCACCTCCCATCTGAGCCTACACGGTAGCCCCGTTGCCTGGGGACATGCCCTTTGACATCAGGCAAGTCACTCCCTTTCTGTGCCTCAGTTTTCCCATCTCTTAAAGAGGAACTGGCTTAGGTGACCACTGAGGTGCCTCCTTCTCCTAACCTTCTAGAAGTGGGTTCTAGTTTCTGCCCCAGGGCCCTCTGTTAGAGACTGTCAGCCACAGCAGAGGATGAGAAAACCTCATGCAAAGTTACATACAGCAAGGAGACAGATACACGGCGCAGCCACCCTTGGTGCCCATTCTCCCTGCCTGTGCATGCTGCGAAACCTCCCTGAGCCTTGGTCTCATCGGCCGTGAAGTGGAGGCAGTAATAGACGCTACCCCTCAGGGTTCTTAGACTTGGTACATAGTAATTGCTCAGTATATAACAGCTGATGGTCCAGTCCAGTGGTTCCCTAACCTGGCTGCGTGTTGAACCATCTGGTTCCAGGGTCCCACCCAGAGAGTGTGGTCCACAGCATCAGGCTGGGGCCTGGGAACCTTGGGTTGAGGCCCAGTCAGATTCAGGAGCAATGGATATCTTTTGCTCTATTTTACAGTTGAGGAAACAGGCCTGGGGCATGGGGGAGATCAGGGGAGGCAGGGGAAGCAACTTTGTCTAGCCCTCCTGCTAGATTTGGACATCAGACCCCTGACTCCCTTTGTGCAGTGCTCTCTCCTTCCCAAGAAAACCCAAGGTCTTGGCTCCACAGTCTCACAGCATCTGCATCAAAGGCAGAACTGAGCAATGCCTGTCTCCTTCCTTTGGCTCCCACCTATCTGGGTCTGGTCCTTACAGGGACAGAGAAAGGTTCTCGCCGGTCCAGTCTCTGATGGCCATGGCAAGGGCTAGAGTGGAGCCCGAGGACTGGCCTTCACCAGCAGCAGTTAGAGCTGAGCATCTTCTGGAATTTGTCAGCCTTGTTCTCCCAGCTCCCCACAAGGGGTGCTCCTGTGGGAGGTGGAGGCAAGAGGCTGTCCTCACCCTAGCTGGAGTTTCCTGGGACATTTCGTAGATGCTGCTGGAGTGAGGGGAGCAGGGCCCAGGGAAATTGGACTAATGCCCCACCCCTGTCCTCATCCTCTGAGGGAAGGCTCAGCCCTGCCTCTCAGGGCAGCAGCTCTTGGCCTTCGTTTGTGGCTCCATCACAGGCAGGCTGCTGTTGGCTGCACATCTCTGCTAAGTGCCTGGATGGTGCCCTGCCTGGGATGACCCATCTACCCCCATCTTCATGGGGACCCAGTCACCATCCATGAGAGATGGGACATTTGCTGAGTACCCGACCCAGGCCTTTCAATGACCCTGCAGTGCAGAGGACATGCCCCCTGAGGAGCCTCACAGAGGGTGGGAGAGGGCACCACCCTCAGCTGCTTCTGGCTGATCCTTGGGGCCTGCCATCCCCTGCTGGCCATGGGAGATCAACCCACCTGCAGACAGAGCACTGGACAGGGCATGAGCAGGCTGGATTCTAGTCAGCTTCTGCTCTGTGTGCCACCTTGAGCTAGGTTCTGCAAGCAGGTCTCTGGCTCTGCGTGTCCTTACTGCATCCCTGGAACCGATTTCCTCCAGACACACAGGCCATTATGAATGCCTGCATTGTAAGCTGTCAGGCGATGCGTGTGTCATGAGAGGATGTCACAGACCCGCCACAGCCCCAGATGGAGAACCGGCTTCCACTTATGTGCCGGCATCAGAGTCGGAGTCTTAACCTCCCTGCATCTCAGATTCTTTATCTGCAAAACTGAGATAAAGACAGTCCTTATCTCCTGGGACTCTTGAGAACCAAATGAGATAATGCGCATAAACGCTTAGCCCAGTGCCAGGCACAGAGACTAGGATCCCTGCTGATTCTCCTACCTGGAGGCCAGCCCTTCTCCAGGGACCCTAGGTGGTGGGGCTGGCCTCTTTCCCAGCTGGGACCACCTGAGGGGGAAGCTGCCCTCAGGTCCCCAGAAAGTCAAGTGCCAGCCGGTGCTGCTGGGCCCCGGCGACAGGAAGGGATGGTCCAGAGGGGCTGGGCTGGGGGCCTGTTCCTGGTTGGTGGAGGGACCCGTAACCAGGGCTGGGCCCGCCCCTTGGCCCGCCCCATCCTTTGATGTGCAGAAGGCAGTGGAGCACAGAGGAGCCTTCCTGGCCCCTGGCCTGCCAGCTAGCTTCTCACAAGAGGAAGGAGGCTGGGAGGGAAAAGGGCAGATGGGGGCCTTGAGACAGGAGACAGGGCTAAGGATGATAGTAATACTCAGCTCTCCTTAAGCGTCAGACTGCATGCTAAGTACGTGAATCTCCTTAGATCCACACACCAGCCCTATAATGGATTGTCTTTATCGTGTAGATGAGGAAACCAAAGCCCAAAGGTTGAGATCACTTACTCAAGAAACAGTGGCTGGACTTCAAGACTCCAGCTGGAGCAGCTTATGGTGGTGTCAATTGGAGGTGACCCCTGGGCTGTCTATCTGTTACCTCCCTCCTTCCCTCCCACAAGACTTGGATGCTCAGCTGGACCTTGTTTGCCAAGAAACTTCCAAGGCCGACGTGGGCCGTGCAGTCCTGAGGGTCCCAGACCTTCTCAGAGTTGGCTCTGACCATTGGCTGACCTGATAATCTGGAAGGCACCTGCCTTTTTCTGTATGCTACTCTTGAAAACAACCAGTTTACAAATTGATAAGTCCCCCATCCACCAGGGATCCTGGAGAAGTGGTTCGGACATGCCCTTAGCCAGTGAGTGGTCACACCAAGCCTGGATGCAGGGCTTGCTATCCTCACTGCACGCCCCTTTCTCTCATTGTCCCAGGTGTCCCGTGTGTGCTGGCTGCAGTACAGGAAGAGGGGCCCTGCCAGCGCCCCAATCCCTTGCCTCACATTAGTTCAGGTGCAGATTCTAGCTTCTGAAACCACAGAAACTTCTGCTTTCTGGAAAAGCACTCCCTCCACTGTCAGGACCTGCTCTGTGCCTGGCATCAAGCCCCCCTCTTCCTACTCCACCACAGGGACAACTCTGTCCAGGTCCCTCCACCTCCCCGTGGTTCCCTAGCACCCAGGGTCTCAATCCTGCTGATGAAATGACCACTGCAGGCAGACACTGCCACACAGGAGTTCTGTAGGAAGGGCCACCAGGCTGGGTACTTCTCCCCTCCTGTGCTTCCTAGGAGTCCCAGACCACCATGTGCCCCAGGTTCCCTCCATCCCAGTCTCTTCAGCTGTTGTGCAGACCCACTCCTGTTCTAGTTTAGTAATGAGTCTGGAAGCTCATCTAGAAATCCTTTATTTACATTTTCTCTTAGAAAAAAA